TGCGGATAAATTTCGAAGTGTAAATAAATTCCCATTTCATCTCCAGTGAAATACAGGCATTCCACAGTGGTAAGGGGTGAACTAGAAATTAATGATTTTAAAGTTTTTTTTAATTTTTTGGATTGTCCCGATGAGTATACAGGTGAACGTATGTAAATGGTTGCCAAATGCAGTTCGCTAGAAACGTGAGCATTCAATAAACGGTTTATGTCGCTATTATTTGGGGTGGGAGAACGGTACTGTCCATTTTTTGGAAGAGAGTGGTTACTGAGTTGCCAAGACGATTGCGCTTCAGGTTATCTTTGAGGAAATACATTTATGAGAAGCCATGGTTTCGTGCGCAGCCTTACTGCTCTCCTAAAAAACACAAATAGTTGAACAGAACTAAACTCATGATGGGGGAGGCGCAAACCTGGTGTTGGGTGTAGGTATATGGGTTTGTGTATTTAACCAAAATTTCTACTCCTTATTTAAGTGTGCCAGAGCATCCAAATTTGGAGGAAACGTAGGCGACAGGGTATTTTTACACGGAAAGGGGGAGCGTCCGGCGTCAGATGGGCAATCCGATGAGAATTATAAGAAGGCTGACATGAGGAGTTGCAACTGATTTCAATTTCATTTTCTTTTCCAGAGTTTGTTTGTGCTGATAAATTGTGACGGCAACAGGTAGAGGCGGACAAATATTTTTTTAGTTTTACTCGCTTCCGATGTTATGATGGATAGCGTATGACGTGAATAATCTCTGTGACAAGCGTGAATTAGATTCTTCCATCGAGTGAAGCACTAATGTACAATAGAAAAAAAGCCGTTAGTCTTTCATTGACGATGGACTCCACTTCTAAGATATAGAATACATCCGCTCAGAGTTATCTTCGAGAGAGTCCATTTATAGAAGGTCATGAAACGCGCACGGTATTGTGCGCAGCTCAACTGGTTGAAGAATAAGATACGTCAACTATAGGCAGCTCAGACCTCGAGGAAGTTGCTATTCACAAATCCATTTTTGCCCAAAAAAGCGAGGCTAATTTGAGGACCCACGAAGCATTTTCCAACAATTTGGGAGCTCTCCAACGACTTTTCAACCCAATCCAATTAAAGTACAGGTTAATCTTACAGCACGTGAGGTCAACTTTCATTACAGATCTGGGACATAAAATATCGTCGGAAACAGTAGCAGATATACTTGATCTTGAAGGCAACAAGCTGAACGTGGCAGTAAGTGCTCCTCGTTTTTCCTCCAGGCAGGCCAAAAGACATAAATTCCAATTCAAATGATATTTTTCAGAACCAACATCACACCAAGACATACTTTGGGCAACTGGACAATGCATGGAGTTAGAGGAAGTATTCTGGGAACATNTACTTGGCTTTATTCTTCACAATTTAGGGCATCAACAACATCTACATGAGAGAATAACTTCTTAAAATGAAATTACGTGAGGCGCAGCTTCATGAAAGGAGAAGATAGCTATCGACAACGTCAGCTAATCGATGGAATACTACCATTGCCTCTGCAAAAAAGGAAAATGACTGAAGGCCAACCTCAGACTGAAAGCGTTCTTGTCGCGCATCGTAGTACCATACACATGTCTTGACAAATGTGTATACATTGTTATAATAAAACTAATGGGATTCCCATTGAGATAAACTTCGTCAGTTCTACAATAATTTGTGATACGTTGTGATAATATCATTTCTCAAAAGTTTCGACCGGAATCGTAAAAAAATCCAAAGGTCCAATACATTGCCAAAGATGAGGTCATAGTCAAATCTTGTCTAAAAACCGTGAAAGTTCCGAATAAAAAGCCACAAGCTAGAGTGTCAGAAAGGTTACTAATCTAGGGAAGAGCGGCAAGGTGAACGTCTCCAAGTGTGGAAAAAATCAATAGGAAGGGAGTTGGTCGTGCAGCGATGTCCGAGTGGTTAAGGAGTTCGACTTGAAATCCAATGGGCATTGCCCGCGTAGGTTCGAACCCTGCTCGCTGCGACAGTTTTGCAGACATGCCAGTGTTATCCGATCCAGTTGACCTTTCCCGATCTCTAACTAGATCATTATATCGTACCTGTGGAATCATCCTTGACTGTGAAAATGTCAATAGGATGGGGGATGGTCGTGCAGCGATGTCCGAGTGGTTAAGGAGTTGGACTTGAAATCCAATGGGCATTGCCTGCGTAGGTTCGAACCCTGCTAGCTGCGACAGTTTTGCAGAGCTGCCACTGGCGCGAGATCCACATACTTCTAGTAGTTCTTGTACCGATTTCCGAAAATCTATTAGTAATTTTACTTGCAATTTGTTAAGGTGCCATTAGATCTGGACAAACGCTTGAAAATAGTTTATGGGTAACGTATCAAAGACCATGCTATTTCACCATGGACCCCGCGACGCGTATTGATCAAATGGGACGCTCCACTGTCGTAAACAACCTCCAGCAATCGGTTTTTTTCGCTGAGAAAGAACTTTTACTCAAGGTTTTGTTCTCGTACATCGACTGGTGATTATCTTTACAGTTCGCTTTTTGAATGTCAGTAGCAATATGATAGTAGCAATATTAATGACACAATCCCTTTGCATTTAATACTTTAGTGATTTGAGCTTTTGATCTAGACCTTTTTGACCTCGTCGATTGCTCCTTTATAAAAGTGCCATCACTTTCTTTTTTGCGCTTATTTTCCCTGTTATTCTTAGCCATTATTTCGTACCTATACCACTTTCAGCGTTTACTTTTACCACTATTTAGTATGTCCTTTCAATATAAGTGTATCGACATTTATCGTGGGGCCTTATGCTTACAATTAGTAGCCATGAACCGAAAAAGAAAGAACTGCTTTACAATTCTGCATCGTCTTCGACATTACTTAAGAGGTCTATTCTTCCAAAGATCTTTCTACACCTTATTGACTTTATTACTTATCAATCCCTCTATGTTGTAGTAATTTCCCAAAACAAAAACAAGTTTCCCACAACAGATGTCTTTTTGGAGTTTGCCTCATGAATTGGCGTACTTCCCCTTACTCGCATTTTTCATATTATTAATATTTTTCTCTCTGAGGCCATTTTCAAGGGCCCTTTGGCTCTCTCTTCGAAATACCCGCATTCTGGCTCCCTTTTGTCGAGTCAAATGTTGATATTTAATCATAGAAGCGCTGATATTTCTTTCAAGCAGGTATGGCTCCTTATTCGGTCATGGTAACAGGGGCCAATCGTGGTCTTGGTCTTGGGCTAGTCAAGGAATTCATGAAGAACAAGGAAATCCATAAAATCATAGCAACTGCTCGTAATCCAGATGATGCCAAGGTCAGTTATTCATGGTTCAGAAAGAACGAGCAAAGGTCGCCTTCGAGTTTTGCTTTCATCTGAAATTTTGTGGTGGCAACCGCTCATTGTTGAAAGTCTGATTTTGGCAAGTATCTCGTCTTATCTCGAGACCCTTCACGAAGGTATTGTACCCTTCAAACTCATTCTGGGAAACAAAGTTAGAACATCTCAAATATAAAGAACATTGAGGAAGATCGTCGGGTACTTNGTCCCTCGCTCACAGTGGTAGGAATCACAGGAAAGGGAAAAGAAAGTGAATTTCCAATGAGTCACCGCGTTTCACAGTAAAAGTTCTACTTATTGAATATCTCTTCGGGACCTTTTCGGAGTTCAATTCGTTTCAGGACTTGAAGCAAATTCAAGACAATCGGATACATCTTGTGAAACTCGATGTGACCAACGATGAATCAATAAAAAACGCTGGTGATGAGGTTGGTTACTTTGAACTTATGTAGCGACTCGTTCTCATCCTGTATGTTGAGTGTAACAAAAAGTTGAAGTCAATGGAGCATACAAACTTCAATAAGCATCCTTTACTAGCTCCTTGGCGCTTCTAGCGTTTTACCATGAGAACTGAGATATATAGCAGCTCTTTCCTTCTGATGATTTTACCAGCCCCTATCACCACTAACCATTCTTCACTACTCAGCATCTATGCTCCTGTTCAATCTTTGAGTCAGCTCCATCGTCAGAGGAGCTCTCAATCTAACGTTTTCCCAGCTCTTTTTAACCTCTATCCCATCTTATCACTTTCTGTGCGTGGATCGACAAACAATTCCTCCCCTTTCCCCCTTCATACCCATTAAGGAAACAAGAAACCCACAAAAGTGCAAAACTTGCCGTTGTAGTTAGTTCAAGCAAAGTAGAAGTGTGAATGTAATGGCTAAGGTGTTAAGGTAAAGTCAATCGTTGGTGACAAAGGCCTTACAACACTTCTGAACAATGCTGGTATTTGGGTGAAGTATGTCACGAAACAAGAACCAAATCGGGCTGATTTTATGAAGAACATTGACGTAAATGCCGTCGGTGTGGCCATACTCACACAGGTATTCTCCTAGTATTTTCTGGGCACCCTTACTGATTACCATTTATTACAGAACCTTCTTCCACTCCTCCGCCAATCAGCTGCTAGAGTGAAAGGCGATTTTTCACTGGATCGTGCTGCCATTTTGAACATATCAGCTACTTATGGCTCTATATCTAAGAACACGACGGGATCAGGTCCACTCAAAGGATTGGCCTATATGACCAGCAAGGTAGGTACTCCTACCCC